ATCTATTCTACGATTTTATTTCTGTCGTTATCTACATATGTTCTTCCCTGAATGGGAGGATATAATAATATTTTACTTTTGCGTGGTATTACACAACTTTTGTGTAATATTACTGTAAAAAGAACTAATAAATATTTTGTAAGACAATTTATTGCTAGATCGTATATTTTTTTGCCATATACAACTTATACGCATAAACATTTACATAATACTGTTATTTTACAGGTAAACAGATTTACTATTACCTTTTAAATATCTCTAAAACTAGATGAGAAATATATTGTGATCTATTTTCAAATATCCCATGTAAATAGTAAATAGTTTGCATCGTAATAACAAACAAACTATTATAAATACAAATTTTCAAAAAACCTAACTATATTTCTAGGCACGTATTCTTCAAACAAGAATCTGGCTTTAAAAATATAGCAGGTTCAGTTGAGTTAGAAAAGCTTTGAACGGTCACCCACTGGTCGAAGAAGGAGAGGCCCCTACGTATCCCTTTCACTTTGCAATGAAACATGCCAATTTGTAGAATGTGTTCAGACTAGAAAAAGTGCAAACCTTCTTTTGTCCATATCGTCTATTTTTCTCGAACTATGACCATCGTACCAGATTTTCGGACAATTACTAGATTGATTTTCTTGTTTTCTTTGCATTCGTAGATGTCAAAATCAACTAAAGAATCTGGTGTTAATGAAAATCAATCAAAACCTGTTTGCTCGAAATGCAATTCAACTGAAAATGTAATATCAATAGTTTATGGATATCCAGGTGATGAACTTATGAAATCTGCTCGAGAAGGACATGTAAAATTAGGTGGATGTTGTGTTAGTCCTGATAGTAAACGTAACTGGTGTAAAAAATGCTCAGATTATGTATAAAACTTATAATTTACCTCGATCGAACTTTTAATTTTGATTTGATTTATATTAATTAAGCTTAATCTAATTTATTTATATAAATAAATAACGCGAATGACAACTATTCACTTGGTCCATTGACTCTAAGTTCAGTCACTCTTGTGTCCCGAATACAATACATTTCGTTCTAACTTAATCTCACGACAGCATAAATGTGTTACAACTCAAAGTAAACTAGCGTACGATATTAGTCAAACAGTACAACACCATGCTTTCTCTCTAGTTAAAATTCAGTGATCTGAAGGTTACAGTCAACTTCTCCACTCCCTTTGCTCGTCTAGTATCGGTTAATGTTGCCACACTGACAGTTATGTGTATGTATGTCCCTCGCCGCACTATTATTTGTGTCTTCGACTACCTCTGTCACATTTCATTCTAACTCAACCTTGCCACAAGCGAATTTCTCAAAAAATTAAGCCGTTCTAGGATACCATACTTTGCATATACTACTTTGGACAGACCATAATACTGTACCTAAAAGATATTAACCTTTGAATAAAGTTTCAATAAACAAAGATTCAAAAGTTGAAAAAGATCATTTGTGATACGAATAAAAATGTACAATTAGACATATACTTCATGTATGATTTTTTTACTCAAAAATGTCAAAATTCTTTTTCGTAAGCTTACGTTTAGCTTGAATATATTGTATACTTATAAGAGACGAGTACGAGTTTTCTAGTAATCCTTCATGATAGGCAATCATTAGTACTAGGAGTGTTGTAACAGACATTTCTGTGTAAACAGAATATAGAAAGTATAAAATAGCACAATCTTATTTGCTACAGAAATCTCTGTCACATTTTTTTTGAAAATTTGTATTTATAATAGTTTGTTTGTTATTACGATGCAAATTATTTACTATTTACATGGGATATTTGAAAATAGATCACAATATATTTCTCATCTAGTTTTAGAGATAATTAGAAGGTAATAGTAAGTCTGTTTACCTGTAATATAACAGTATTATGTAAATGTTTATGCGTATAAGTTGTATATGGCAAAAAAATATAATATCCAGCCATACATTGTCTTACAAAATATTTATTAGTTCTTTTTATACAGTAATATTACACAAAAAGTAAAATATTATTATATCCTTCCACTCAGAGAAGAAAATATGTAGATAACGACAGAAATAAAATCGTAGAATAGAC